TGAACTTTGCCCATGCCGAAGAGGCGAATGGGTCTTGCAGCAGTATTGTGGCCCTTACGCTTTGGGAGTGATTCATAGTCCACTCCTGAACTTTGCCCATGCCGAAGGGGCGACTGGGTCTTTCAGTAGTATTGTCCAGGTGTCGAGTTGACTGTGAGGTGTCGGGCTTGCCTGTGAGGTGCTGATGAGCTGCTTGTGAGGTGCTGGGCTGACCAGGTGCCGAGCTGCCTGTGAGGTGCTAACGAGCTGCCTGTGAGGTGTTGGGTTGCCTGTGAGGTGCTGACGAGCTGCCTGTGACCTGCTGACGAGCTGCCTGTGATGAGCTTCATTGCTCTTTAGAGACTTGGAAGGAACTAAATGTCAGAGGACCCGGGGTGGCTAACTCGGTGAGGTTGCTCCGATGGCTAAGTCAGTACTCTCATAGTAGACTGCGAACTAAAAATCACAGTCTGTGAGCTAGAACTTGCTTACTTGCTTCGGGGGTTGGTGCCTTTATACATGCATTGTTTGGCGTGGGCTTCATGCACCATATCCGAGATTTCTGTGAGGTCGTTTAAGTGGTTCGAGATTCCTGGAAGTAACCGCCATGCATGTTGACCACCCTCCAGACTGTTCGACACGTGGACCAACTTCCAAGGATCGTGGGAGTGTTTGGATATGCATGCCGAATTCGTCGGTAAGCACGTCTTGCAAGTCGCCAGGTCGATGCATGTGCCAGGTCGCCAGGTCGCGCCTATGCTAGGTCGCGCGCCAGGCCGCCAGGTGGGCACCTTAGAGCTATGAAGCGAGAGCTTTGGTTTCTTTGAGTTCATAAAAAACAGAAACTACAAAGCGAGAGCTTCAGTTTCTAAAAAGGTGAGGACTTAGCTTTCTAAGAGAAGAGGGCTTAGCTTTTTGTAAGATAAGAACTTAGCTTTTTGTAGGATGAGAACTTAGCTTTTTGTAGCATTTTCCCACAGACAACACCAAATGATGTAACTGTTTCTAGTTACGTATCATTTTTTCATGATGTATCAATTTTTTGGCTGAGTACCTCGTCATCTCGTCTGCTCCCACGTGTTCGGTGACTCAGACGCTGAAGTGGAGCTCCCTGGTGGCGAGCTGCCTGGTGGCGAGCTACCTAGTGGCAAACTGCCTGGTGCCGAGTTGCCTGGTGGTGAGCTACCTAGTGGCGAACTGCCTGCTGGTGAACTACTTTGATGAGCTGCTTGGAGGTGAGCTACCTTGATGAGCTACTTGGTGGTGAACTACCTTGATGAGCTGCCTGGTGGTGAGCTACTTTGATCAGCTGCCTGGTGGTGAGCTACCTTGATGAGCTTTGTTGCTCTTTTAAAGGCCTGCAAGGAACCAAATGTTAGAGGACCCGGGGTGGCTAACCCGGCAAGGTCACTCCGATGCCTAAGTTAACACTTAGTGGAGAGATGAGAATGATATTAGAGAATGAGAGAGCCAGAGAGCAAAGGTTACCCATCCTTCTCTCGCATACCTTTGCCCCTGGGGGGTGAGGTCTTTATATACTGGAGTCCTCGTGGGTTAGGTGGAGCAGTTTCTGGATTCCCACTTGTCGGGGAGTGGGTGAGCTAATATAGCCGTTACAAGTCACAATCCGGTAAAATGCAGGGTACGGTGGGGAGCTCCTCGGGGTTGTCAGGTTGGCGCCTGTCAGGTCGCTAGGTCGGTGCCTGGGCCAGGCCGCCAGCTTGCGCCTGGGCCAGGCCGTCAGGTCGTGCCAGGGCCAGGTTGCACTAGGGCCAGGCTGCTAGCTCGTGCTAGGGCCAGGTCACACTAGGGCCAGACTGCCAGCTCGTGCTAGGGCCAGCTCGTGCTAGGGCCAGGTCGCGCCAGGGTCAGGCTGCCAACTCATGCTAGGGCCAGGTCACGCCAGGGGCAGGCCACCAGGTCGCGCCTGTGAGACACCATCAACTTAGAAAATGCAAGTTGTTGCCAAAGTGGTCCTGGGTGCCACCTACTTGTTTTGAGGTGACAGGCTACATGAGAGTGAGCTGCTTGTGGCAAGCTGCCTGTGGCGAGCTGCATAGTGGCGAGCTGCCTGTGACAAACTGCCTAGTGACGAACTGCTTAGTTGTCAAGAGGCTATACTTAATTGTCAAGAGGTTGCCAAATGTCATAGTGTCATTGGAGGGCCAAATCCGCCCTCATCAGAACTCAAGAAAATATCATAAGTTTTTAAATGCACATATTTTTCTTCTTTTCGACCTTTTAGCTAGTATATATAATTATATACTACACCCTTAACAACACTAACGGTACACTCAAATGTGCATAAATATCTATATCTATGTCTATATATATAACAACATCAATAATGAAGAACCTATGGTTCCAATTCAAACAGTAGACGCACATTCACTCCATTAATGTTGTCCGCTCAAAGCCCAATGGTTTGAAACAAAGTCTAACCACACCTACATAAAACTACACATGGAATTGAGAGAACACCCCTAGAATTCATAATACAACGAGGGTGGCAGCACAAGAACAAAGAAATCTGACCAGACTTTTTGCCACCTGATTTAGTTAGTTGACGGATGGGCATGTGTGTATATAGATTTCTTTAATTTATTTTCCAGCGGGAATTGGGGATCCCAAATTAACCCGATTATTTTCGGGTTGGCACGTTGAGTCGAGACCTGTTAATTAGATACATCATACATGATAGATTGAGTTGAGTCCGTATTACCAAATGCAGGTTCTGTGCAGTGTACACCGCCTCTATAATCTATAATCTAGGATGGATTCATCAAATTAAAAATCAAATAAAGAAAAAGTCAAAAAAAAAGAAAAAGAAATTATACAACTTTATTGACCTTTTGCTTCCTCCAATATTGATCTTTGTTTTCCTCCAATTAAAGTCACCTTCCCCTGGACCCTGGCCTTAAGATATATTTTCTCTAGTCCCTGGTCTTAATCAACAGTGAACACAAGCCCACCCCATTTTCTAGTCTAGGGGGGTGTGGGATCCTTACGTGTGACATTTGGGATTCCCTTCAACATTTAATCACATGCCAAAATAACCTTTAAAATTGCAATTGCCACCCCCGCTCCTACTTGAACGAATTTGTATCACGCTGTATAATCATTTTCCAGAATTAAACCCATTTGATGATGAGTCCATATTTCTATTTAAGCAAGCACAGCTCACAGAAAAAATGCACAGACGAAACAGATCAGATAGCTAGCTAGAGTCTAGAGAGAGGGCGATGGTCGTAGTGCAAGCTCTCCATATGAATGGAGGGACTGGAGAGACTAGTTATGCTAAGAATTCAGTGGTCCAGGTTAGCTGTTATATAGCTAGCTAAGCTAAGCTATCAATCAGTTCGAGGCCATGATGTCTTTTTAATTTGTATCTGCTTAATTAATTTTGCTTTTCTCCAACCATCTATACGTTTGATATGTTTGTTTCTTATATATAATATCTTTAATTTTTACAGAATAAAATCATGTCCATAGGGAAGCCAATGATAGAGGAAGCCATACTAAAGTTGTATAGCACCACCAATAATTCCCCTGAGAGCTTCGCCATCGCAGATTTGGGATGCTCCTCAGGACCCAATACCTTATTGTTGGTGTCTCACGTTATGGACATCGTCTGCCGGAGATGCTGCCAATTGGACTGTGCACCACCGGAATTCCGGGTGTTCTTGAACGACCTTCCCTGGAACGACTATAATACTCTCTTCAGGTCCTTGCCAGCGTTCTATAACACTCTCAAGGAAGACAAAGGGAGTGGACTACTTGGGTCCAGCTGCTTTATCGCAGGGATGCCAGGTTCTTTCTACGGGAGGCTATTTCCAAGGAAGAGTTTACACTTCGTTCACTCTTCTTCAAGTCTCCATTGGCTCTCTCAGGTCAGCTTCATTCAGTTCTACGTACGACCACTGTACTGTAACAGTAAAAGCTAGCTAGTTAATATACATATATGCATTAAGAATTTATTCTCTTACACGAATATATACACCTCCTGTTGCTTTAATTAATTTCCTCCGTATATATGTGGGTCGACTTTGAGGCATCGATCCCTGAAGGAATCATCGATCGATCGATGCAACTGGTGCAGTGGTGTTGGTTCACTTGCTTATTATTATTTAATTTTTTTTTGGGACATATCCGATCCTACAATTTGGAGAGTACGTATCAGAAGCCGGCCATTAGCTAGTAACAGGAAAATATTTTCTGTATTTGATTGATTTATTGAGATTGTGGACTACTTTCTTTCAGGTCCCACCAGGTCTTGACAGCAAATCCACTCCACCATTAAACAAAGGGAAGCTATTCATATCCAAGACAAGCCCGCCTTCCGTCTTAAGCTCATACGCCCTACAATTCCAGGAGGATTTCACGTCTTTTCTAAGTTCACGTTCAGAAGAAATGGTACCTGGAGGCCGTATGGTCTTATCTTTCATGGGTAGGAGGAGTGCAGACCCCACTACTGAAGAGAATTGTCACCAGTGGGAACTCTTAGCACAAGCGTTGCACACTATGGTGATTGAGGTAGGTTCTTTTTTTGTTTTTACTATTTTTCTTTTAGGCCAGGTAGGTTATTTTTTTATTTATCTGTGTAAGTTTTTCTTGGAAAATACTTATTCCGGTAAGTGCATCTACTCATATTCTTTTATTTTTCTTGTAAATAAGGTAATGACTATCTTAGCCAAAAAAAAAAAGAAAAAATCTATAATTAAAAGAGGTATTTTTATTCCATTCAAGTGTTGACAAATTTCACCCTAGGTGTGAAAGCTATTTAGCCACCTAGGAGATAGACTTACTGGATAAGTGGTACTCTGTAAAATATCCTGATCCCCACATAAATCTAAAAAAAAAACATAAAATTCTTAGCCAACGTTGCCTTAATTTATTTATTCTTTTGGAATTTAATTTGTTGTTTAACCGTGATTAATTTCCAAGGTAAGTTGCCCTCTGTTATCAATTGTTTTTCATTAGTCGTTGACAGTCGTTCTTCAACATTGCCAACTATTGATTTCTTCTACCTAGTTTTCAGGTAGGTATTGCACACCTCATTGGAATTTATTCCGAGTCCAGATATTCCGCTCACAATGTTACCGAAAGACACTACAGTCGCACATCGGGCACATCTCAGTTGTGAGATGTTATCAATGCACGGCTATAGTGTATTATGGGTAGCGTGAAGCCGTGGATAGTAGATCCAAGCTATTTTACTCTAAGTTGCTCATCTTTTATGCGGTCTGGATTTCTTTAATTTAATACATTGGGCTTATTTATTTTATTATTATTGTTTTTTGAATTTTGAGAGAGAGAAAGTTGGTCAATGGGATTATGTGGGGTTCACGAAAAATTTATTTTCTTTGGGTATCATTTTTTCCAGCTGGGTAAGTAACTTTTTTACTTAGGGGGGAAAGTTGCCAACACTTGGATTGAATAAAATTGCACTTTTAATAATAACCTTTTATAATTAAAAATCTAAAATGGTCATTGTCTTATTTACCTAAGAAATAAAAGAACATAGGTAAATGCAGTACTGATATTGTTTGCTTCTCGAAAAGAAAACAAGACTATTGTGTTAAGCCATATACTAAACAATGAGAATTTATCAGAGTTCATGAGGTAGTTTTGATTGGTCAACTCTTGAAAGTAAGATCTTCCACTATCTCTTGCTTTTGAGTAGGGGTGCTTATACTACAGTTAACTGAACCATGGGCTCTTTTTTGAAATCGAACCAATATAATTGGTTTAAAATAAACACTGAACCAAAAACAATTGAATAAGTAATTGATTGGTTCAGTTCTTCAGCTTCTCGGTTTTTCATATTTATAATATATTATAAATAAATATACAATATAAATACCATATTATATATATATATGTGTGTGTGTGTGTGCATGTATATATGTATATTAATATTTTTAAAATTAGGATTAAATATGTTTATATATATTTAGATCTTTTTAATAGGATTATAAATTTTAACTATATTATTTTAATTTGTTAAATGAAGAAAATAAAATGATTGGCATCATAAAAAATCATAGGGAGTAGGGATCCCTATGGGGTCAGGATGGGGATAACCTTGTTGCGGGGATAAGTATGTGGATGGGGATAACCTTGTTGCGGGAACAAGGATGTGGATGGGGATAAGGATTTTTTATGGAGATGGGGATGAGGAGAGAAAAGAGAATTGGTGGAAGAGAAAACAGGGAAGAGAGAGAGAGTAAGAAAATTGGGAAGAGATAATAAAAGTGAAGAGAAAAAAAAAACAAAAGGTGAGGAGAGAATTGCTTGATCTTTTTATGTAATAGAAATGAATTCTTTTATATAGATGACCCAAAGGGTACCAAAAGCCAATCTAAAAGCAACCCTTTTTTTGCATGACCCAGTGGGTGACTAAACCTGTAATCAAACCACATCTTAAATGGGAGGTTTTGGGTGGATTACAAGTGGATGGATAGAATGGGTCAAGTATATTGGGTCAGCAACTGCCACTTCTAGACTTGAAATGGATGGACTGGTGGGAGGCTGGATCTACTCCTCACACCAACCTCACATGCACATCTCACCATGTATCGAGAACATCACCATGTGAGTTCTTAATGCATAATGAGATGTACCTGTGAAGCCGGTGTGAGGTATACGCTCTGTGAGTAGTAGATCCCAATTTGGTTGGTGGGTTATAGACTTATAGTGCCACGCAGCCTCACAACCTGCTGTACGTGGCCATTCATGGATATGAGCCTCGAAGCCCATGTGCAGACAAAGGCAAAAAAAGCCTTTCAACTTTGGTGGCGTTTGGTACCATATAAATATCGTGGATGGGACCATTCTGGTTCTGTCCATGGTAAGATATGGTGTTCTGCTATATATGGACAGTTCTTGTCCACAAAATAGCGTAGACAAGAATAGGCCACACCCCAATTTATCGTCCACAGTATTTTCTCGTGGATGGTCTACACTATGGTGTGGACAGTTTGTGGAAAGGTTTCAATATAACGCACCTACGTTACATTGGTCTAATTACTCTCATTATATTTAATATTTTAATAATTTTTAAATTTTAAATTTTTAATATTTTATCAATAAAGTAATAATTTTTAATGTTAATTCTAGCACAAGTCCGACGGTTCTCCTTTTCAACTCTTTTTTCATTATTTAAATATTAATTTTTTAATATTTTATCAATAAAATAAGATTTAAAATATTAATTTTTACTTTTTAATATTTAAAATAATATTTTTAATTATTTAAAAAATGCAATTGTTGTCTACATATTGATGCCTTTTTTTCAATTTATTTACCATATAAAATGCAAAAATTAGACATTTATGATCTATTATGTAGATCTCCCATAAAATGTATATGAGATACATGAAATAAAAAATTGTAGTCCATACCACACCTGCAGAATGCCACCATGAGTGTGGACTAGTCCGGACAATACAATCTGTCCACAGTTCAAAACAACTGTGGACTGTGGTGTGATATGAATTGATCCTTGCCACTGAGTATAGTGTGGATCAATCCACACCCACCAACTTTTCATCCACACAACAGAATGCCCATTTTTTTCTGACCTTTTAGGTTTGGACCACGATACAATCGATATATGACAAGAGTGAAAAATATGAGACAAAAAAAAATGTATAACACGAATGAGAAGAAATAATCTCTGACAGAGTTGCAAAAGAAATAATGCCGGACCAAAAAGCATAAAAGAGCAATGGAAATACATGGTACCGAAAAAAAATAGTCAATCAACGGCTATCATAAAAGAGATAACCAATCATGAAGTATTCAACAAAATTCACAGGGTTCTTAAATTGGTCAAAACTCTATGGCCGGTACCACGTTTTTAGGTATGATAAATTCCCCATAAAAAAGGGTTAATCATTGTATCTAATCATAATTGATTTCAATTGTTGTTATTAAACTAGAATGAGAGGGGTTTCTATTCCCTCAGTCCTTCCCATACTACAATTTGTACAGTTGGAACAGTGACAGATGGAGAATGAATCAAAATAAGGGAGATAATGAATCATAGGAGGAAGCGTTAGTAAATAAAATAAAATAAAAAATTAATAAATTTCCTGATCACGTGTACTGAATTCTAAATTTCTCTAAAATGAAATTTAGTCAAACTCAATTGAATTATTTTTCAAATTGGTAGATCACTCGAAATATATAAATTGAAGGGGTTAGAAGAGCTTATGATAGGCAAAAAGAATATGGAAAAAAATAATAAAAAAATGATTTAAGCATTAATATATAATTTAACAATGAATTATATAATCAATCCGGTATTTAATTGGAATGATGAGGATGAATTATGATGAGAGCACCGGAAATAAAAACAACTAATCATCAATTGGTTTTGCAGGGACATGTGGAAGAAGAGAAGTTGGATAGGTTCAATGCTCCCTACTACTCACCCAGCCCTGAAGAAGTGAAATCTGCAGTACAAAGAGAAGGGTCTTTTATGATTGATCGTATAGAAATCCTTGAGGTTGAATGGGATGGAGGTAGCAATAATCATGTAGTAAGTAATGGAACGTCTGATAATTTGACGGGTGCTCAGCGGGTGGTGAAGACTGTAAGGGCCGTGGTTGAGTCCATGCTGGCAAGTCATTTTGGGGAGGAGATAATGGACGAATTGTTTAGTAGGTATGGCAACATTGTGAGCGACTACATGTCCAGAAAGAGAGCCAAATATGATAATATGATTGTTTCCATGACAAGAAAGAGCTACTAGCTAGGGTTCTTCTCACCACCCTCTTTTTCATCTATTGTAGAATGAAATGCCTTACATTTTGTATTATTTTATATGTATTTATACTATACATATGCGTATTTGTACTCCTTCCAAACTGAGTCTTAGGTGGTGTGACAGACGATGGAAAACAGCCTGTTGTGACTCGTGTATCTTTATTTTCATTAGCATATAACCGATATTGTCATGTTTGCACCAATGAATCCAATTATTGAACCATGCTGCCTATCTACATGTCTTGTTGAAAAAAAAAAAATTAAAACAAATTGATAAATTGTATCCTTAGTGTTTAGTTAATTGATAAATTGTACCCTTATTGTTTAACTATTGTCTTGCACCACCCCTACTATTTTTGACAATTGTCATTATTGTTAAAATTTAACAGAAAATATGAAAAATCAGTTTTACCCTTCCATTAAATCCCGTTCATCTTTCCTCAAACATCGGCACCTCCTCCCCAGTTCCATGTGTATCATTGTCACTGTAACCAGATCCCCATCACCCGTTGAACCATCGTCATCTTTGACGAAGAACAAAGTGATGATAGCAGAGGAGAGGAACAGCAATAACCTCTGCAGAGGATTAAAGGTTAATGTTCACCCCTTTAATCCTGATGCTCTCCCTCTGTAAATCTCTCTTCGTCATCCTCTCCAACAAGTGTAGAGGATGACGATGTTCTACTCTGTAATCTCTAGAGTGTTTGTTGGCTTCGGCTTTCTAGAGTTTAACGTCCAGGAGAGGTTGAAGTTGGTGAAATGACATGACGGACTGCCAGATTGTTGTAACCTACTGTGTAGATCTCCCTTCATCATCCTTCTTACCGTGTTTTTAAATTATAAATTAAAACGAGAAACAAATTCCGAGTAGAGAGGTCTAGCGATTTTAATTGCCATAAATTTGGAGGGACGGTGTTCTTCTCCTCGGCGAAAATGGACCAAAGTGGAATCTGAACATGACCAATTAAATTGCGAGACATTGAAGAAGCCATGGTAATCGTTACGGTGGAAGAGGGAGACGGTAATCTCTTCATCCATGTCAAGGACGTTGAATACGAACTCCTTATTCCAAACAGGGTTTAGGGCTTTATTCATGACTCTAGTCTAGGACTTGTCAACCCAAAGCTTGACATAGAAGCCCTCCATCGCTCCAAAGAGAGAGAGAGAGAGAGAAATGCTGGGTCACATGCAGTATGAGATCGAGATTTAGGGCTTGTAGTTTGTGAGCTATGAGTGATTTAAGAAAAATCAAATGTAGGGTTTAGAATTGGAATCAATTTAGGGTAAAATGAGTGGGTATCTTGTCCTTGATTGGAGATGCAAAGCATTTGATCGGTAAAAGATTCAGTGATGATTTTGTTCAGAGTGATATTAAGTTGTGGCACTTCAAGGTTATTGCTGGCCTTGGTGACGGATGAGGGCGGATTTGGCCCTCCAATGATAATGTGACACATGGCACAGGCACGAACTGGCGGCCTGGCACAGGTGTTGACCTGGTGGCCTGGCATAGGCGTGAACTGGCGGCCTAGCCTAGGCACGACCTGGCGGCCTAGCCCTGGCGCGAACTAGCGGCCTGGCCCAGGCGCGAACTGGCGGCCTGGCCCAGGCGTGACCTGGCAACCTAGCCCTGGCGGCCTAGCATAGGTGCTGACCTGGCGGCCTGGCACAGGCGCCGACCTGACGACCTGCGAGATGTGCTCGCCGACAAATTCGGCATGCATATCCTAACACTACCACGATCCTTGGAAGTTGGCCCACATGCCGAATGATCTGGAGGGTGGTCAACGTGCATGGCGGTTGCCTTAGGAAATCTCGGACCACTTAGATGACTTTTCAGGAATCTCGGATGCGGTGCGTGAAGCCCACGCCTAACAATGCCTATATAAAGGCACCAGCCCCAATAGCATAGGGGGGCCAAGTAAGCATATTCTAGCTCTCATACTTTTTGATTTTTAGCTCATAGTCTACTATGAGAGTACTGACTTAAGCATCGGAGCGACCTCGTCGAGTTAGCCACCCCGGGTCCTCTGACATTGATTCCTTGCAGGTCTCTAAAGAACTACGAAGCTCAACAATCAATCTAGCTCGCCACCAGGCAGCTCGGCCCTCTGGTCAGCTCGGCAACTAATAGGTAGCTCGGCCCTCTGCTCAGCTCGACAACTAATAGGCAGCTCAGCATTCTGGTTAGCTCATCACCTAACTTGCCTAGCTCGGCCCAGTCAGCTCATCACCTCGCCTGCCTACCTCGGCCCAATCAGTTTGGCACCTAACTTGCCCAGCTTGGCCCAGTTAACTTGGCACCTAATCTGCCCCCAGCTTGGTCTGGTCAGCTTGGCATCTAGGTCCTCATCCAGCAAAAGTTCACTTTGGCCTCTAAGTCATCGGCCACTTGGAAGCAGACCAAATGACGAGGTACTTAGCACAAAAAATTGATCCATCAATTGGCGCCGTCTATGGGAAACGCTACAAAAAGCTAAGTTCTCATCCTCCGAAAGGCTAAGTCCTCTTCTTCCAAAAAGCTAAGTTCTCACCTTTTAGAAACTAAAAGCTTTCACTTTCTAGTTTCCATTTTTTATGAACTCAAAGACTATGCAGGAAGTTGATGGCCAACAGACTAAGCAACTCTACTAACTTTATTTCAGCTCGGATAAAGCGTCATTAGTCCTCTTCGCGAGGTACCCTCTACAAAGATGAGCTCTTCGTGGCTTCCACGAGAGTAGGCGGCCAACTGACTACATGGATGCCCCTGCCGGTCGAGCCTTCCAAGGCTCCCGTGCGAGCTGGTGACCTAAAGTCAATAGTGCTGCTCCCGTTGGTCGAGCTCCTAGTAGCTTCTTGTAGGAGTGGGTAACTAACATCACTAATGAGGCTGATGCAGCGCAACCGTAGCTCTAAGGTGCCGAGTTGATAAAAGACCTCGGCACCACATAAGACCCAGTCGCCTCTTCGGCATGGGAAAAATTAAAGATCAAGGAGAGTGGACTACGAGTCGCTCCTAGAGCCTAAGGGCTAAATTGTTGAACTGGAAAAGACTTCGTTACCACATAAGACCTAGTCACCTCTTCGGCATGGGCAAAATCAAGGGTAAGGATAGTGGACTACGAGTTGCTCCCAGAGCCTAAGGAATTAAATCGATGCTTACAAGCTCATCGAATTAGTCATTTCAGGCCAAAAGGAGCAATCTACTCCCTTCGCCGAGTTACTTTCAGCTCGGGAGTGGGGGGCAAATGATGAGGGCAGATTTGGCCCTCGAATGATATTGTGACACATGGCACATGTGCGAACTGGCGGCCTGGCGGCCTAGCACAGGTGCGAACTGGCGGCCTGGCCCAGGTGCGAATTGGCGGCCTGGCCCTGGCGCGACCTGGCGGTCTGG